GCACACCGAACATCACGGTAACAATGTTTTAATATATCTCACACATAATCACAGTAACAATATTTTAATATATCACGCGAAACATTATGGTAACAATATTTTAATATAGCACACCGAACATCACGGTAACAATGTTTTAATATATCTCACACATAATCACAGTAAAAAATGTGTCACAGTTCTGAATTTTTTACAACTTAATCTAATATGCAGACCACCAAGAAAAAAAACTTATTTTATTACTTAAGTTATCAATAAGAATTTAGTTGTCTCTGTTTTTTATAGTATTTTTATCAAATAACTCTGAATGTCTTGTTATAAAATAACAAAATTCATAGTCATTTTATTTAAATTCGTTATGAGAGAGAGAGATGCAAAATATTTCAATCCTCCACCCAACCCATCAAATTGTTTAGATGACTTCTTAATGTTTTCTGGTCTTGGAATACCTTTGTTTTTTCAACAACGATAATACACCTTAAGGGTCTCTAACGAGTTCCTAAGATTACTATCACTTCAAAAATAGATTCATTAACAAGATATTATTTTGTTTCTACTTATTAAATATTAAACCTGAGTTTATTCAGGGAGATTCGAATAAGCTCATTCCTAAGTGTTTGAAAAATTTGATCATGTACTCCCAAGTTTAAAGATGATCTCAATTGCGTGCATATCAAATTTTATTTAAAAAAAAAACTGTAATAACATCTACCTTGTTAAAGAGAAAAATAACATAGGTTGATAGATAAAGAGAGATATAACAAACACATTATTCCTACCCAGATATTCTGAAATGCTTTTAACACAGCCCGATTCCTTGGTGGTTCAGCGATAATTTTACGGAGTTGAAAAGCTAAAATTCGGGGTTCGATTTCCCGCGGTGGACAGAGCCCATTATGTAGCTTTGGGCTAAAAAACAAACCAAATTAACCCACCCAGTTTCTTGATACGAGGGACCGGTTTGTGGTACTGACAATCATTAATGATAGTGAAATGTACCACAAGGTAATTTTAATAACGTCTGGCTATATTTTATCATTTCCAGTATGTTAGTCAGGTTTTTCTTCCGCTTTTTTCTTTGTCTCTGAAATTTCAGCTCCGGAGGAACAAAAAATAAATGCTCTGTAGCTTGGCTTTTACTGGATATGTTTTAATCCATAGGTCGATCATAAATAAAAGAAGATACCACATGTCTTGAACAGTAAAACCAAAGTTGTAAGTGTTCCAATAAGAATAATACTTCAACTGAACCCACTTCAATCTTCGTTTCATATACGAAATGAGGTGATTCTAACATATTGAATTGCATGTCGCCCTGACATAGCAAATAAGACTGCACAAATCTTTTTATTATGTCGTTTCTTTTATATATGTACGAATCAATTTACCGATATAAAAACATTGCCAGTGTGATTAGTTCATCATGGTACCGATACAACATGCAGCCAACGAATCATTTAAAGGAAGACTACATGATCTATAAGGATATTAAGTACATACGTGTATAACTGACATGATTAGGATATTCTGTGCCCTCTGTCTGGACTGTTGGAAAGTGAGTTGATATCATTTATACGATGGAATAAACATGATTTTAACAGATAACGTTGAAAGATTTTTATAAGGGATTCTATCTACGCTGATAAATATTGGAAGAATTGTGTTTTATTGCAAACTGGTTAGAATTGTAAACTTTGTGAGCTGGACTGTTTAATGGCGTATTCTCTTTAATTTGTGGTTAACCGTTGGTACCCTCTGTCACGTATCTGCATATTTATAGAAGTAACGTAGTGTATGACTTGACATCCTGTTGGGTGGACGCTGGTCAGTGACAAAAGACCTGATGATCCACATCTGTTCTTACAGTTTCCTGGCAAGCATGTCACGCCTGGAGTTGGAAATCCAAACTTGGTTCATCGATGAAATAAAACGTCACACCCGACTTTCCTTGTGGCATATGACATTAAAGTCAAAAGGCTAACAACGTACTAGACGCTTCTAGTTTTGAAAAGCGTGCAACTGGCCAATTCACCTTTACAACCACCCAAGGGTCACCCAACACAAAACGGCGGCTGTTAGGGCTCCCACTGTGATGAACCACGGTCATGACTTCTCGGGGAGAAACACACACACACATCTTGTCCGGTCAGGCGGGGTTCCGGTCGGCTGATGCATCCCCCCCCCCTACACCCCTCGCCACGTTCTTAGCTTGCCATTCTCCCATGGCGAGAAGT